CCCCAACCTCAAAGACACTGAAATTATTCTCACAGAAAAATAAAAGTATTTTGATTTCTGGATTTTAGTCATCAAAATCATACCTTAGACAGGATTCACATCTGGAAACTGATGTGAACCCTAAGAGAGGGCAAAAGAGCCTGGAAAGACAGACTTGGCCTAAAGAACCCCACCATTTAAACAAGCTGCAGCTGTGTTATTCCCCATATACCACGACATAATCGTTCCTTGTTAAATTAATATTCCAGTTTCTGAAACAATACAGGGTTAGTAGTTCCTGCTGCAGTCCGCTTGTACATTTACAGTGCAATTAGCAAAATGAACAGTAAAATGTAACTCTGATAAATGAAACTACTCTAGCTGCAATTACTGTAGAAGAAACAGAAATTCAACTGCTTCCTCCCATTAGTATGTCAGGAATTGACTCATAAGAGGAAAACTCATGGATTCCTGCTAATCATCTAATATAAGTTATAACTACAATGGAAATGTATTTGATGCAAATTATTATTGCATCTAAACTGCAAGTGAAAATACATTAAACAGGACACTAGTTCACCAACAATCAATGAAAATGCTATTTTAAGAAATTATTTCTGGGAACAACATATTTAARGACTATTCCATTCATATTTGCAATGTTCCTTTTCTCATTGCAGTCATAAAAATGTAGTTTCAAATATTAAATAAATGAAATATAACTATTATGTTCAAAAGCTTCATATGGCTTAGTGTTAACAGATGTCACCATTATTTGTGGTTCACTTATGATTTTTGTGCTTTGSCCTTGTTGCAGTTCAATAACAAAAGGTCATTATTTGAAGATAATGTGTAGAATATCTTGAAATTCAAGTGAAAGTTGAGACAGAGAAGTCAGAGGCCTGGAAAATATTACTGCAACCTGAAAGTGTAGACACTCCAGAAATATAAGTTGTTTTAAATTAATTTAGGATTGTTCAAGCTAATTTTTTATAGAAACATATTATGAGCCTCATACAAAGAAAGAGTTATTTAGGGCAGACTAGATTAATTTTGAGAATGCTTGGGCTCAAGATTTCCCTTTGTTGTCCCAGGGTGAAACACAGGTTCTCTAGAAGTCTGGTAGCTCACTTTGGAGCAAGGGAATTAATCACCAGACATTTGAATGTGCAATGTTTGAGGTGAACACTTCAGGTAAAATTAATAAGTGTCAATTAAATTATTTTCTGGAAATATTTCTACCATTCCAGTTGTATTAGTCCAAGCCCCTGAACGTCAGTAGAGCCTCCTACAGAATCACAGAACCACAGAACACACTGAATTGGAAGGGACCCACAGGGATCATTGARTYCARCTCCTGGCCCTACACAGGACACCCCAAGAATCACACCATGTGCCCAAGAGCATTGTCCAAACCCTTCTTGAACTCTGTCAGGYTTGGTGCTGTGACCACTTCTCTGGGGAGCTGTTCCAGAGCCCAATCACCCTCTGGGTGAAAAACATTTTCCTGATATCCAATCCTAAACCACCCCTGTCTCAGCTTCATGATGTTACCTTGAGTCCTGTCACAGGTCATGAAAGTGAAGAGATCAATACTTGATCAGATTGGTCAACTATAACCATTTGCTAGAGATATCAAATATAAAACATTGTTTGTGCTCTGAAGTATCTTGAATATTGTCCTGTTTGCCTGAAATGTTTTGTAAACTCCAGAGTACTACACTTCTTTCAATGCATCATTGTCTGCATTTCTCATACATACATATAAGTATACAGTGACTCTTGTGATCCTGTGACAGTATCTTAGAAGTGCAAGAAGGATAAAAGTCATCATARCACCTATACATTTTAAGGTATTACTTATTTCAAGTTTAATCTTTGKCATGAAAAAAGAAAACGAGAAAGGATATTTATCAACTGATTATAAATCAGTAATGGGAATCTAGCATTCTTTTTGTTTCACAATAAATATTTGATTTTCAATCCTTCAGCACTGTTAAGTTTATCTCTCAGATCACATTAACCCATGAGTCTTTCTGAACAGTGTCTGGTTACACTGTGGAAACTTCCACACTTCCTGATAAAGAACAAAAGTTAGTAGAATTTTTTTAAAAGGTAGATAAATTCATAACAGAGAAATCCACAGGCTCCTAAGCAGAGATCTACTGTACCTTTGGTAAAGAAGTCCCAAGATTATAGGTTGCTGGAGCTTTGGAAAATATACTCAGATAGTTTTGTATTACAGCCACAAGCCACAATTTTTATTTATTTTTCTTTGAGCCTTCAACAGGGTAATAGATTAGCTCAGGGTAATAGATTAGCTCAGATCATTCATGTCAGGTGGAGAGCACATATATATATACGTAATATACATAATTAATATATAATAAATATATATGCATGTATGTATGTGTTTAGGTCCTTTTGGAATCAATTTTGGGTCCAAATGTTTTCCTGTTATAACAGAGTGCAATTATACTATAGCTGCACTCACTCAAGACAGAACAGTTTGTTTTTTAATTCATGAAAGGTGCTAACCTGGCACCMGGAGTGAGTTAAGGGATTGACAAAACACTTTAGGTTTGGCATTGACCTCAAGYAAGACAGCTAAAACTCACAAAGCACAAGATCAGTGTGCATTGTGACCATCTGCAGCCAATCAAGCTATTGACAAACTGAACAATTTTCATATCATAATGGTTTATGTCATCTTCTCCTGTTTGTTTTGTGAATGATATAGGTYATTAGATAAGGTGGAAAATTCTGCATCCCATTACTACTATCACTACAAATGCCAGCAAATATTATCACACTACATTAGAGCCAGTAAATAATTTAAGTTGATAGTGTAGTGACCAGCATTTTCTCACACTCATATGTGACCAAAACATTCAGCGGCTAGCRTGAGGCAGATAAGGGAAATTTCAGGTGGCAAAAAGACACTTTTCTGCCTTCTTGTGTCAGTAATTTGAAGAAAGTAATTGAGTTTTGAATTTTTTTGTGAATCAAGTTAAAAAACATAAAATTAAATTAATGGTTTCTTTTGATATTCCACAGTTTTATGAGAGACTTTTAGTCAAAGTATTGTTAAAAATAAATGAAGAAGCTGGACAGGACAACACATTTCCACTCAGTGCCATAACAGTTTAGAGAGAAACCAGATCAGAAATGAACAAATGAATATGAAGTTTAAATATTCCAATTTTAAACCACAATTTAAAAAAAATTAATAAAATTTATAATTCTCTGTGAAACCTTAATGCCTTTAACAAAGGAAGTCACCAAAAATCTTTTTGCTCTTTTCAGCTTTCCAGCCTTCCATACTCTGAACTGATTCAACAAGAAGGAGAAAATGAGAGATCCTTGAAAGCATTTGAAAGATTTTCTTACCACAAATTGACTAGGAAGGGGTGTTCCAGGCCTTGCATTATCTGTAGCTCCCGGAAAACATTGCGAACTTCATCTCTCTCAATGCACTTCTGTTTATTCATATACTTCATGGCATACATTTTCTTGGTGTCTCTCTTCTGYACAATGCACACCTAATAGGCAGCAAAGTAAAAGAAAAATTTTGACAYCTTGAGAAAGTGAATGCAGTTGTGACTTGGGAAAAAATGAGCCTTTTGCAATATTTCAATAATTCAGATCTGGGTACTACAGCTGAGTAACACCTTCAGTAAGTTCACTTCACAGCTCTGCRGGATTCTTTGTAATAGATTTTAATTAAAAATTAACAAAAGAATGATCCAACCTTGCATAAGAAGGAATGGGGACCCAGAAAATTGTCATAACCTTCAGAAGTTGCATGGTAAAGCTGAGAGGAATGTGCTCCAGGGGCTGAAATCACAGGCTGCTTCATCAGCCTGAGAAATCACTGCCTCCTGCCTGGGATAATGTGCAGTCATTGTCCTCA